CAGTTCCCGATGCCATCCCCATCCCCATTCCCATCTCCGGTACCCAGTTCCGTCCCCATTCCCCATCCCCAGTTCCCAGTGCCGTCCCCGTCCCCGTTCCCCGTTCCCGTCCTGGTTCCCAGTTCCTGCTCCCGATTCCCGACGCCATCCCCGTCCCCATCCCCATCCCTGGTCCCGGCCCCCATCCCCACCCCAGCTCACGCTCCCCGGTCCCACTCCCGGTTCCCGATGCCACCCCTGTCCCTGTTCCCGTCCCCGTCCCTGTCCCTGATCCCATTCCCCGTTCCCCATCCCCATCCCGGTTCCCACTCCCGGTTCCCAGTGCCACCCCCGTCCCTGTCCGATGCCACCCCTGTCCCTGTTCCCGTCCCCGTCCCTGTCCCTGATCCCATTCCCCGTTCCCCATCCCCATCCCGGTTCCCACTCCCGGTTCCCAGTGCCACCCCCGTCCCTGTCCCCATTCCTGTCCCCAGTTCCCGGTGCCGTCCCTGTGCCGGTTCCCGTTCCCGATGCCGTCCTCATCCCCGTTCCCCATCCCAATCCCAGTTCTGGTGCCATCCCAGTCCCGGTTCCCGGTTCCCGGTGCCATCCCCATCCCGTTCCCAAGTTTCCGGTGCCGTCCCTGTCCCCGTTCCCCATCCTCATCCCGGTTCCCAGTACCATCCCCGTTCTGGTTCCCGTTGCCGTTCCCGCTCCCAGTGCTGTCCCCATCCCATTCCCGGTTCCCAGTGCTGTCCCCATCCTGTTCCCGGTTCCCGGTGCCGTCCCCGGTGCCATCCTCATCCCGGTTCCCGGTGCCATCCCCATCCCAGCTCCCGTTCCCGTTCCTGTCCCCATCCCGTTCCCGGTCCCCGGTGCTGTCCCCAACCTATTCCCGGTTCCTGTTGCCGTCCCCGTTCCTGTTCCCCATCCCCATCCCGGTTCCCGTTCCCGCTCCCCCTCCTGGTGCCGTCCCCATCCCCGTCCCGGTTCCCATTCCCGTTCCCGGTGCCATCCCCATCCCGTTCCCACTCCCGTTCCCGTTCCCAGTGCCGTCCCCATCCCCATCCCGGTTCCCGCTCCCAGTCCCGGTCCGCGGTGCCATCCCCATCCCGTTCCCGCTCCCCGGTGCCATCCCCGTTCCCGCTCCCCGGGGCCATCTCTATCCCGTTCCCGCTCCCCGGTGCCATCCCCGTTC